GCAGCCTTCCCCCGGCCCTGCTCGGGGCCCATCAAAGCCTCCTTTCCTCCTGGGAACCCTGGGGATTTGAGGTTGGGCTTTTCCGGAGACTCGGCCCAGAGCAAGAGCCGCTTCCAGAGGCCTCTCTGGTCCCTGGGTCCGTCTGGAAGTTGACCACTGAAGGTGTGTGAGCCGAGGTAAGCCTCGGGGCCGTGTCCCGGGGAAAGTGAGCGGAACACTCTGTCAGGAGACGTGACAATTAAATCTATTAATCGTATCAGCATATTTACGCTGGGTCCTGTGCTCGGTCCTGGGAGCTGTAGGGAGATGGTTGGAAGGGAGAGAAATGAGTAGATGAGGCAAAGCTCGCTGTCTAGGAGAGAGACGCGCGTAAACAAATAATTAGGGACAGTGTGGGGAGTGCTATAATGAGATAGGATGTGCTCTGTAAACACACGAGAGGCACGCAGGGGCTGGGAGACAGGGAAACGCCTGGGTGGACTTTAACCCCACTCCTTGGGGCCAGGCGGGGGATGGGGGGCGCAGCAGCCTGCCACCCCCTGGGGCTTTGCGAGCTGGGGGTGGGGGTGAGGCTGAGGTGTCCAAAGCCCAGGGCCTCGCTCTGAGCCCTCCCAGGTTTGTGTGTGTGTGAGAGACAGATGGGCAGATGACTTTAAAATGTTCCTTCGAAGACAGAAAGTAGAACAGGGGTTACCAGGGCCTGGGGGCAGGGTGTGGGGAGTTGTTTAATGGGTACAAAGTTTCTGTTTGGGATGATGAGAAGTTCTGAAGAGGAGTGAATGGTGGTGATGGTTGTTCAACAGTGTGAATGTACTTCAGTGCCACTGAATTAATTGTACGCTTGAGAGCTGTTAAAATGGTAAATTTTAGGTTATGTATACTTTATCAGGGTATTTTCTTAAAGATTTTTTTAACTTTACTTTTTTAATCCTCACCCTAGGACATGTTGAGAGAGGGAGAGGGAGAGGGAGAGGGAGAGGGAGAGGGAGAGGGAGAGGGAGAGGGAGAGGGAGAGGGAGAGGGAGAGGGAGAGGGAGAGGGAGAGGGAGAGGGAGAGGGAGAGGAGAGGAGAGGGGAGAGGGAGAGGAGAGGGAGGAGAGGGAGAGGGAGAGGGAGAGGAGAGGGAGAGGGAGAGGGAGAGGGAGAGGGAGAGGGAGAGGGAGAGGGAGAGGGAGAGGGAGAGGGAGAGGGAGAGGAGAGGGAGAGGGAGAGGGAGAGGGAGAGGGAGAGGGAGAGGGAGAGGGAGAGGGAGAGGGAGAGGTCAACATCGAAGTGAGAGAGATACATTGATGGGTTGCTATCTGTACGCTCATCGACTGAGGATCCAACCCACAACCCAGGTATGTGCTCTGACCAGGAATTGAACCGGCAACCTTTCGGTGCATGAAGTTCAACCCACTGAGCCACTCCGACTGGGCTCAAGTTGTTTTTTAAATGGTCCTTAGAAAAAAGGCAGCCTCTGGTCAGTGCCCCTACCTTCAGCCCAGGGCTTTTCAGCAACAGCGCATTTTGACGTTGACATTTTGGGCTGAGTGAATAATTCTTTGTTGTGGGCGCCATCCTGGATCTTACAGAGTGTTTAGCAGCACGCCTGGCCCCTACGCACAGGAAGCCAGCAGTCTGCCCCACCCCAGTGTGACCACCACAAATGTCTCAGACACATTGCCAAATGCCCTCTGGGGCAAAATCGCGCCCCCCACCCCCCCCATTAAGAACCACTGCCTTCAGCAAGTTGGAATAAGCTGCTCCAGGAGGAGCTCAAAGGGTGGGTGGTAGGCAACAGAGAAGCAGGAGGCAGTTGCCCCAAATTCTGAGGGCCCCCAGGAGGTGGCGGCAGGGTTTGAAGAGCCAGAGTGAGGCATAATGGGCATGGGCATGGGCAGGTGCACGTGGGCGACAAGATCAAGCTTGTCTCAAACCTGTTGCCCCCACCCACCCAAGAGAGAAGTGAGTGTGCTCATTGCTGTCATGCCCCTCCCCAGCCCCATTGGTGAGAAGCAAAGGAAGATGAAATTGTCACCTACAGCTGCAGGTGGTTGGTGCCTTCTAAAAGGGCCAGCGGCCTCTGCTGCTCCTTCCTCCTCTCCCCGTGGGAAAAACGAATGTCTCAGGGTGTGCTGTGTCTCCTTTCAAGGCAACTACAGAAATAAAAGCAAACAAAAACAGAGTTTTTAACAGCCAGATCTGACATGCAGCGAAGTGGAGACTCCCCGTAAGTGTATGAGCGGGCTGCTCTCACTCTGCACCCGGCCTTCAGCCGCAAGGAAGCACTTGTGAATCCAGAGCACCTGCCAGGTGCCCCACTCCATGCTGAGTCTAACCAGGCACAGGTCCTGCCTCCAAGAGGCACAAGCTGATGGCGACCGACAGGGGAGAGGAGAGGAGAGCAGAGGAGGCAGCTGAGAGGAAGGCGTGGAGGTGGGGGCAGGAGCGTGCAGGCCTGGCTGGGGTCGCCGCTCTCAGTGGCTTCCAGGTGTGGATTATGCTTTCTTCTCGCCTGCGATGCCCCTTTTGGGGAGCACCCAGCTCCTCCCCAGAGATTTGAAGGATTGCTTCAGTCCCTTTGCCTGTGGACCTCCTTCCTCCCTCTTGGTGATCTGCCCAGTGACCCTGGGCCCCAAAGAGGGGGCGGTGAGGGGCTCAGGGTGGGTTCTCAGTGCGTAAGGTGGATCAAAGGGGTCCACAGCAGGAGTCAGTAGCTCCCCCTAATCCCAGAGCTTTGGGGATTCAGGCTCACCCAGGACCAGAGAGGATGGGCATGAAGAATGGCCGGGTTGGGAAGAGGGGAGGGGAGCTGCTAACCCTGGGGCTGGAGCTGTGCAGAGTAGCCCTCTTCCTCCTCATCCGCCTGCCTCTGAGGGGATGGAGTGTCTGCACTGCTTCAGACAGGGTCCTGCGGGGCTGCCTGGGAGGGGAGCTTACTGGGGGGGGGGAGGATGGGGGGGCTGGCTGTGTGAGGTCTCGGAACAGGTGCTCCTGATTGTCTGTGCTAAGGAGCTGGCAGTCAACAGGAAGTGAGTCCCAGGTGGGAAGAAGCCATGTGGTTCCCAGGCAGGAAGTGAATGACAGCAGAGTTGTCTTGAGCAGCTTTTGGGGCCAGGGGCCTACCCCAACTCGAGGTGTCTGTGGGGCAGCAAGTGGCTTGAGGAAAGGAGAACACGGCCATGGTAAGAAATTGGCTGTGACCTACACAGTGGGCCTGCGGGAATCCCACCCCCCACCCCCCGGGGGTCCCCGCTTGCAGCTCTGTGGTGCCTGGCACAGCCAGACCTGGGGTGGCTGTGGGGGCCCAGGCGTGCCCCACTCTCCAGGCTGCCTGGGCCACTGACTTCCTCACATAAGAGAAAGCCTTGAGGGTGAGAGGACTTCCACCAGGGAGGGGCCCTCTAGGCTGGGGAGCCCTGTTGGTCTGCGCAGGGAGGTGGGGAAAATCCATCCGAGTCCTGGAGAGCGTGGGGGGCGGCAGCTGAGGAGAGAGACGGCCTCTTGCTCCACTTGCATTCCCGCGTCTGACCTCCTGGCTCTGCTGGCTTTGGCCTCAGTGCCCAAACCTAGTGGTGGAATTCTCGCTTCCGCTTCCGCTGGAGGCCTGCTCTTCCTCTTGCTGCAGCCTCCCCGCCCCCGCTGCTGAGGACTGCGCACATTTGCAGCTTTCCATGGGAGGTGCTCTTCCTGGAAGCAGGCCCGCCCGCCGGGCTGCCACACAGCCAGGAGAACAGCTTGGCCAGGGGCCTGGAGTTCCCTCCGTGCGCGCGCATGCTGCTCCATGTGTCTGCAGGCTCGTCCAAGGAGGACCCTGGTTTAGTCCTGTTTTTTATTTTTATTGTTTTTCCCAAGGCCCTAGTTTCTATTTGCCACCCGTGGGGGTTTGTCACCAAATAATAGCAGGCTCAGAGCTGAGACCTTAGACCAGTGGTTCTCAACCTTCCTAATGCCGCCACCCTTTAATACAGTTCCTCATGGTGTGGCGACCCCCAATTTCATTGTTACCAATGGAACCTAATGAAAGCATAGTGATTCATCACAAAAACAATATGGAATTATATATGTGTTTTCCGATGGTCTTAGGCGACCCCTGTGAAAGGGTCGTTTGACCCCCAAAGGGGTCGGGACCCACAGGTTGAGAACTGCTGCTTTAGAAAGAACAATTCTGGACCAGTGTGTGAGTACATATGTGTAAACATGTAACTTACACGTGATATAACTTAAACATGTAACTTATACCTATAACTTACACATGTAACTTACACATGTAGATACATAGGAAGGAAAGTCTAAGAAAGATACTCGCCAAACTGTTATTGATAGTTTACCTGTAGGGAGTTCTTAGGTGCTTGGGGACAAAGCATTGCATTTCCTCTTGGAGGGGGAAGCTGGGGCCACGCGCTGGGGAGGGTGTGCTGTACAGACTGAGAATTGCTTGGCGGGGCCTTGGCTGTCCTGGGATCTGAGCACCTGGGAGAACCCGTGGGGGCCAGACCTGAGGGAAAGAATGTGCTGGGCTTTGGGGCTCAGAGGAATGCTTCTGGGGGGGGGGGGGCTTTGACGCTCCTGGCAGCTAGTCACTGGGTTTAGAGACTCCGGGGAGAGCTGGGAGGCTCTGGCACAGCAGTTGGGTCAGCGCAGGCTGGTCTTCGGCGGAGGGGTCCTGTTTCAAAGTAGAGATGTCTGAGGCTGCAGAAGGCTCGGGGGAGGGAAGGCTATGTCACCTCAGTGAGTGTATGTGTGGGGTGCAGCTTGGGCTGCGGAACCAGCTGGCAAACCTGGCTGGATTCTTCTCCCGTTTCTTACGCTGGAGTCCATAGATCCCTTGACTTCAGGAGGTCAAGCCCGTAAACCCCTTGAAACAGAGCAAAATTGTGAACGTATGAACGTCATGCAAAACTGCATGAACGTTTATGCGAACAAAATTATCTGGACAGACAGAGTTCCCACCAGAACTTCAGAGTCTCCACCAGAATTCCACTGGTCTGACCCTCTCTGTGCTTCTCCATGACCAGGTGGAGAGCAGTGACACGCCGAAGGACCCTGCGGTGACCTCCAAGTCCCCATCCATGGCCCAGGACTCAGGCCCCTCGGAGCTGTTACCCAATGGGGACTTGGAGAAGCGGAGTGGGCCCCAGCCGGAGGAGGGGAGCCCTGCTGGAGGACAGAAGGGCGGAGCCCCGGCAGAGGGAGAGGGCGCAGCCGAGACCCCGCCCGAAGCCTCCCGAGCCGTGGAGAATGGCTGCTGCACCCCCAAGGACGGCCGAGGAGCCCCCACAGAAGAAGGTGAGTCCCTGGCTCAAGGGGCCGCCTTTTTGGGGCTCACCTGAAAGTTGGAGATTTGGGGCCCAACAGGTCCCTGGAGGCGTGGGCTGGACATGGTAGCTGAAGGTCTCCTTGCCCAGGTGTGCCCTGCAGGCTACTGGCTGGATGCAGCCTGCACACAGGTTTTATTTGGCCCATGTAGTATTTTAAACATTTTTAAAAAATTAGTTGCCAATATTTAAAAATCAAGATATTTCACATAAAAATCTGGAGTTTTGGCTTCTTGTGAGAAAGTAAAAAAGCTAGACCTGGCAACAGTGGGTTGCAGAATGCCAACATTTGCTGGACTGGGGTGATGGCTGTCCCCCTCCCTCCCTAGACACCCCCCCTCCCCCCCAATCAGGCTGTTTGTGCACCTGTTTCCCTCAGCCCCACCTGGCCTGCTTGCTTGCCCATGAGACCTCAGTTTGGGGGATCACTGTGTTTGTAGCCCCCTGGCATGGGTGCCCAAAGGCAGCAGATGCCCTGTGGGCATTAAAAGCCCAGCGAGCCTTCCCAGCACAGATGTCCTGAGGCCACCAGAGTTTAGATGACTGGACTAAACTGTGGTTGTGACAGGTGGGGGAGGGGCAGGGGGCTGGGGCACTGCCCAGTCCAGGCCTCTTCTTCCTCCGAGGACTTCTTGGTCTAGCCCTGGAGCCTGGAAAGTTGCCCACTTTTCTCTTTCAGGTTAAGCCAGCGATCTCAGGGCCAACCGAGCTGTGAACATGTCAGTAATGAGCACAACTAGCATTTGTACAGGGCTTCACAGTTTACAAGGCGCTTTCTCATACATTATCACATTTGATCCTCCCAGAGCCCTGCCAGGTTGCTTTGCATATGTGCATTTTAATTTTAAAAAGTCTTCCTTCCAAGTGTGTATGATGGAATGAGTAAATTGATTAATTGGCATAACTCATTCTGCACGGATCCAAACCTCGCATTCATGCCGGGTTGAGAGCATCTCCAGAAGAGACCTCAGCTTTACTTACTAAAGAGTCTTCCGTGCGTTTATCACTCAGCTGATGTCTGTGATGCTCCCACTATGCGAAAGCGTTTTCTGAGGTGCTCCATGTTCAGCGTTTTACTCCCCCAAACAATCTTCTTCAAGAGGAATTATTATCCCCAATGTAAGGTGGAAAAGATTGAGGCTTACCAGGATGAAGCGACTTGATCAGAAACACCAAACCTGTCAGTGGGAGGCCCAGGCTTTAGTCTGTCCTGCTCTCTGGCTTCAGAGTCGGTGTGCCCATCCACTCTCCCCTCTGTTCTGCAGTGTGGCTGGGAGGCCCGGGCCCTGACCTGTCCAGGGCTCCTCGCCTCACCCGAGTGCCTCCTGGGCTGTGTCCTGACACTTGGTGGGCGTGTTCAAGGGGCCCAAGTGGAGTAAAACAGAGGAGGAAAGGAAGTAGCCCCCATCCTCCTGTTAAAAAGGCCAGGTGTGCAGGACAGAACCTGTCCCCCTTTCCCACCATGTGTGCCGGTCCCCGGGGGGCAGATCTTGGCTGACTCCCAGGTTCCTGGGACCCCTCCATCACTGGCACCCAGCTGCTGCCCAGGGCCTAGGCAGTCCTTTCTGGCTGCTTTTCACCTTGAGAGTTTGCTTTGGTTTGGGATTTCCCTACCTCCCTTTCTATTTGATTTCAGGGGCTCCTTCCTCAGTCAGTCAACAGGTATTTATTAAACACCCCTCTGGTCTGTGCCAGGATCTGGGAAAATCCTCATGAACAAAAACCTGCTTCTTGCCCTTAAGGACCTCACAGTCCTCTGAAGAGACAGACATTCATGAGAAATCCACACTGAAAGGGTGTGATTAAACACAGATAAGTTCTCCAAGAGGAAATGAACAGGGTTCTATGGGGAACTATAACAGAGGAACCCAGCCGGCCTGGGCTGTTACACCTAAAGCTGAGGGGTTCACCAGGTGAGGGGTGTGCAGGGAGGGAGTGAGAACAGGACTAGGGCTCTCAGGTGGGAGCGAGCAGGGCACTCGGGGGCCTGACAGAAACCCACGGGCCGGCGTGGAAAGAGCGAGGGAGAGGGTGTGAGATGAGGAGGGAGCAGGCAGGGCCACCCTTCTGGGGGCTGACATGGGCTGTACATTTTGGAAAGACCAGTGGGCCATCTGGATCCTGGAATGGAATGAACAAAGGGGCCAGAGGCAGGATGAGTGCTTAGGACCTGCTGCAAATGCTGCAGACAGAGAGGGGAGGGGGTGGCTCTCCTGAGCGAGGTGGTAGCAGAATTGGATGGAGGTGGACAAGTGCCAGGGACGTGAGGGAAAAGGGGGGGAGATGCTCAAGGGCGACTTCTGCAGTGAGATCTTTTCCGAATCTTCGTGCTGAGCATGGTGGGCAAAAACGCTCATTCCCTTGATCTCCAGAATCCGGCCTCAGAGCACTCCTGTGTGGCTGCAGCAGCCCAGGCAGGGGAGGTGCCGGCAGGGGTCAGAGCTGGTGGGATCCTTGAAGGCCACTGTGCATTGCCTGATAGTGAGCCTGGTGAGGTGCTACCTAGAGGAGTGGGCAGTGGCCTCCTGGGGGCTTGGCCACTGTTCTAGCGTCAGCCACATAGAATACGTACTCAGTTGCTGGGTTCTGAGGAGAAAGGAGACTAAGGCCCCAGCAAGGAAGGGACTGGGCTGTGGCCTTCTTTCAGGTCCCCTCATGCCAGGTCTCTCTTCAGGGACCCCATCTGCCTCTCCTGGAACCCCTCTCATTAGGTCCCATACAGGAGAAATGGGGGGCTCTCAGGTAGCATCCCTATGGCCTGGGCACCCTCCAGTATGCACCGTGGGAGCCCCAGATCCTGAGAGAACAGCCAGGAGAAAGAAGGAGGAACAGGGGAGATGATGCGTAATCAGGACATGAGCCACCTGGACACACAGGTGGTGGCCTTAAGAAGGCGCCTGCACTCCCAGCGCTAATGCCGTGATGCTAACAGTAATAACAGTAGCGGTGCCAGAGTGGATTTCTTTGACTCATGTGTTGAGTGTGCCATCTCCTCACCCCTCCAAGTGGTCCACCCATCACCTGGCATCGCCTGAGAAGAGAGGGATGCGGACTCGCAGGCCCCACCCTAGACCAGTGGTCGGCAAACTGCGGCTCGCGAGCCACACGCAGCTCTTTGGCCCCTTGAGTGTGGCTCTTCCACAAAATACCGACTTCTGCACATGGGCCACGAAGTTGCAATCGCACTGTACGTGCGCGCCCGCACGTGGTATTTTGTGGTATTTTGTGGAAGAGCCACACTCAAGGGGCCAAAGAGCCGCATGTGGCTCGCGAGCCGCAGTTTGCCGACCATGGCCCTAGACCGATTGAATCAGAACCCACGTGTTAAACGCATATTCCAGTTTGAGAAGCCCTGGTCTGGTTGTATTTTTTCATCTTTGTCATCCTGGGAGGAAGACTCTTATCCCACCGTGTTTTTTTAAATCCTCACCCGAGGATATGTTTGTTTGTTTTATTTGAGAGAGAGAGAGAGGAAGGGAGAAGGAGAGAGGAAACAACAACAAACATCAATGTGAGAGAGCAGCATTGATCGTATGCACCCCGACTGGACGACTGGACGACTGGACGTTAAGCCACACTCTGGGTGTGTGCCTGGCCGGAATCGAACCCACCACCTTTTGGTGCACTGGATGATGCTCCGACCAGTGGAGCCACCCAGCAGGCTATCCCCACTTCCAGGTGGGGAGGTGGAGTGTTCGGAGGGTTCAGTTACCGACCCAGGATGACACAGCTAGGGAAGGACCAGCTTCGGTGAGCACAGAGCTCCCCTCTCCTGACTGAATGTTCAGTGTCGGCTGGTGACTGCCCTCAGTGATGGAGATTTAGGTTCATTTGAAAGGGAATTGGGGGTGGCCCCCTGCTAAGTACAGTCCCAGGCCAACAGATTAGTGTTAGGAGCACCCTGGCCACCACTGCCTCTAGGACCTGAGATGCCCTAGGCCTAGGGTCACCCGGGAAGGCACGCGGCCACCTGGCCCAGCCTGTGACCCTGAGTCTGGGCCAGGGGCAGATGGACTCCGAGGGAGTGTTGAGAGAGCGGCTGACCCTCCTTGACCCCGGACAAGCGCCGCATTCTGAGGTAGCCCAGTGTGTTGTTTTGCTTGCTCAAGTGTGTGCGGTATCCCTCAATTGGGCATGCGCAGAGTCCGGCGGGGAGAAAATCCAGGAAGAAGGCAGTTAGAAACTAGGTAAGGAAGAGGAATTCTGTCTGGGGAGCATGGGGCCCATGGGGCCGGGGATTACGGGAGGGGAACATCTGGGAAGATGGTGCAGTATAAAGTGAGCTGCCTTCTCAGCCCTGGTAGTAAGTCATGCCACTCCCCAGGCCTGTTTCCCCACCGGCAAAACCTAGCGGCCGGAGGATTAACTCCATCGTCCTTGCAATACTTTTGTTTCAGCGGCTGGCTTCCTTTCATTTGAATGAATAAATGATTTTCCGGAGATCAAATGTCACGGAGGGTCCCGGGTAGGAAACGTTTGAGGGACTAAGGGTGCATCAGATCCGGGGGCGGGCGCCCCCTTCTGGCGGCGCAAGGCCTCGCCGGGCAAACTGCAGGTTGGAGAGGGCGGAGGACTTCGGGGGAGGAGGAGGGACTTCGGGGAGGAGGGCCCGGCTGGCAGGATGGGGAGCCCCGCTCTGGGAGACCGGGGGGAATGTTGGGGAGCGCGCAGTGGTGAGACGAGAGGGCCAAAAGGAGACACGTTGGAAGAGAGAGAAAGCCCGGGTGAGACCAACCTCAAAAAGCCCGTCGCGTACAAAACGTCCACGGGCCCATGCGCGCACCAGGCACGCCTCCGCCATAGACGGCGGACTTACGCGCTTCCTCCCTCTCGCCCCTCCGCCCTCCGCCGCCAGCTCTGCGGGTGGGGCGTTCCCGCGTGTGGTCCTCGGTGTCCACGCTTGCGGGACGCCCCTCGCTCCTGCAGGTGCTGGCCCTGCCTTCCCCCTCCCCCGGGGCTCTGGGTCCGCCGTCACCCAGAACTGCCCCGGCCGGCGCCGGGCGCAGACGCAGACAGATGTCCCACGTCCTCTCTGGTGAGAAGGAGGGAAAGCAGCATCCTCTGGGGGCTGAGGATTCGAGGCCTTCAGTGCTGTGGCTGGTTTCCGCTTCAGGAGCTGCAGTAGGGGCTGTTTTTTCCGTTTGGGGCTCTTTGTGTGTCCCCCTCCGCAGCTGCCCTCTCCCCGCCCCCACCACGCAGCTACCACGAGCCAGCCTGGGTGACCTTCCTGCCTTTGGGCCCACGCTCAGTACTCTTGGCTCCAGAGAAAGGCGTTCTGGGCCCAACCAAGAGGAGGGCTGCTCCCCCTGCCCTCCTGTGGGAAGCTCAGGAAGGCATCGTTAACCCAACGCCACAGCCAGGGCCCCTACCGGTGGTGCTGGGCCAGGGACCTGGCGCCTGGGAGGGGAGGACCCGGGGAGGAGGGCAGGGATATTCTGCATGGGGCCAGGAGCAGGGCAGGGCCCGGATAGGCCTCCCCCAGGAACTGGAGTCAGGATCCAGGTGAGGAGTTACAGGGAACTGCTGCCTTAGGGAAGGGGAACAGAACTAACTTTTATGGAGCACCTGCTATATGCCAAGCCCTGCTCTAGACATTTAATGTCCCCAATAACCTAACGCTTCTAGAAGGGGTGTCCACCTTCACTCAGTGAGGAAACAGGCCAGGAGCGGCTACAGAGATCTCATCGAATAAAGGCTGAGCTCAGGAACCTGAGAGTGGGGAGGGGAATGGGGTACGGAGGCACATATTAATAACAGAACCGTAACACGGAGAACTGCGGGAAAACCTTAGAAATCATCTCCAGCCTCTTTATATTCCCCAGATGAGGAAACTGAGTCTCATAGAAATGAAGTCGCTTTGCCACAGTCTTGCTCCAGTGGCCCCGTACCCCACTGCTCCCCTGCCCAGGGCCCCGCGCACAGAGCCAGTTGTTCCATTCCAGGGCCACGGGAGGCTGTGCAGTCTGCCCCCTCCTCCCAAAGGGAGCTCTGCTGGCTGGGAGGAGCCCAGTGGGGCGTTTCTAGATGGCCCCTTCTGTGTGCCTCGGACAGTCCATGGGCGAGAAGCCACAGCCCTGCTTCTGTTGTCTGGCCCAGGCCCTGCTCCGCTCCGGCCATGCCCTGAGTCCTCGGGTCCAGCGTGGTGCCAGGCACATGGTGGGCCGCCAGGTTTGACACAGGAACCACTAAACGGCTGGAGGACTGCTGTCCCCATGGCAGGCACCCCAGGCGCTAGGTGGGGCCTCTGAGCCACTCCTGTAACTCTGCTGACCGTCCTCTGCTCTTCCCTCTTCACAGGCAAAGAACAGAAGGAGACCAACATCGAATCTATGAAAATGGAGGCAAGTGTTTTCCTCAACCCCCAGGGGTCCTGTGGATCCTGACTCTAGGAGAAGAAAGCCAGCCGTGGCGAGTGTGTGAGGGGAGCCCGAGGTGGCCGTGGCCCCTTTACACATCCCTCCCTGAGGAGGAGAGGAAGTGGGTGTGGAGGTTGGAAGCCCCCCAAGGCAGCCACCTAGCCCCCCTCCCCTCCTGGTTTATGCCCATGTGTCCCCCCACCCAGTCCCTCAGTCCCCCGCCCACCCAGGGCACGGGCAGGGTTGACGTCTCAGGCCAGGAGTCAGAGCTCCTGTGTCCTGTTCGAGGTGAGTGCCTCCGCAGTGTCCCCTGCTCGGAACCAGCCCTGCAGTGGGGCTGTCGGTGCCCGCCTTAATGCCAGTCTGTCTCTCTTGTCTCTCTGTCCTAGGGCTCCCGGGGCCGGCTCCGGGGTGGCTTGGGCTGGGAGTCCAGCCTCCGCCAGCGGCCCATGCCACGGCTCACCTTCCAGGCGGGGGACCCCTACTACATCAGCAAGCGCAAGCGGGACGAGTGGCTGGCACGCTGGAAAAGGGAGGTGAGGAGCCTCTGGTCTGTGCCCCAACTGGTCCCACATTATTGGAAAACCGGAAGTTAGCTTCCGCCACCCCCTGTGGCTGTTGTCAGGCCCTGGATGAGCCTCAGTTTCCCCTTCAGATTAATCTCTGGTACTTTCAGGGGACTGCTTAATCCTTAGGTAGTAACTAGTTCCTTTGTTCTTTCAACAATGTTTATTGAATGCTTATGCTTATCCGGTATCAAGCAGTATACTCGGCTGTGCATATATAATTCCTGTCCTGGTGGAGTTGACATTCTGATGGGGGAGACGGACAGAAAACAAGTAAACGGGCTGAAATAGAGGATAACTGAGGACTGCTCTGGGTGGGGTAATCAGGAGAGGCTTCTTGGAGGAAGTGACATTTAAGTTGAGACCTAAAGAAATGGAAGAGCTGGCTCTGTGGGGATCCGGGTGGGAGAGAATGTTCTAGGCCAGTGGTTCTCAACCTTCCTAATGTCGCCACCCTTTAATACAGTTACTCATGGTGTGGTGACCCCCAATTTCATTGTTACAAATGGAACATAATTAAAGCATAGTGATTAATCACAAAAACAATATATAATTATATATGTGTTTTCCGATGGTCTTAGGCGACCCCTGTGAAGGGTCGTTCGACCCCCAAAGGGGTCGCGACCCACAGGTTGAGAACCGCTGTTCTAGGCAGATAAACAGCACAGGCAAGGCCCTGACTTGTTCGGCCAAATGAAAGCCAGTTTGCCCAGAGTGAAATGAGTAAGGGAGAGAGTGGGGCCAGTTGAGGCTGAGAGAGAGCCGGGTGTCCAATCATCAAGCTGGTTGAATCTGAGCACACTGAATGCCACTGAAGGTCTCTGTGCAGAGGAGAGATTTGAAGTGGACTCAGGGCAGCAGGGGAGACGGATGGATCCGGGATGGATGTTGGAGATGGAACCGGTAGCGTGTGCTGATGGATGGGAGGCTGCAGGAGCGGAAGGGAAGGACTCAGGACAACCCCCAGGGGTCCTGCCTGAGTGCTGTGGCTGTTGTACCTTGTCCTCTGACGGGGAAGACTAGGGAGGAACAGGTTTGGGAATCAAGAGTTCCTGTTGAAATACTGAGGTGCCGGGGCCTGGGCAGAGGGCGGCCTGGGCTGCAGAAACCCCTGCATTTATGGTCCTCTAGAGAAGGGTGGCGGCTGGGGACAGAGCAGGGGCCTGGGAGGAAGCCTAGGGGAGAGTGTGGGTCTCCGGGGGAAGGTTTTCCGGGGAGAGTGGCCACCTGCCCTGCGGAAGCTGAATTCGTTGATTCATGCCCATTGGAGGGAGCTGGTGACTTTTCTTTTTTTTTTTCTGGTGACTTTTCTGAGAGAAGCTTCGTTGGGGGTCGTGCAGCAGTGAGCGGAGGGCAAGCGACCCTCCGGGGAGGGAGAGGCCCAGGGAACCGTGTTTGATGAGTAGAGGAAGGCAGGGAAACGTGAAAGGCTGTGAAACCACCTGGGGCATTTCGCCTTCACTCTCACTGTCTGTACCCCAGGCCTACAGAGGAAGGTGTGATCCTCAGTACATCGTTCCAGGGTTTGCTCTAGACCAGCGGTTCTCACCTGTGGGTCGCGACCCCTTTGGCGGTCGAACGATCCTTCCACAGGGGTCGCCTAAGACCATCCTGCATATCAGATATTTACATGACGATTCATAACAGTAGCAACATGACAGTGATGAAGTAGCAACGACAATAATTGTATGGTTGGGTCACAACAGGAGGAACTGTGTTTAAAGGGCCAGAGGTTGAGAACCACTGCTCTAGACTCTAGAGAAAGTCAAAACAGGCTGGGGGTTTGGCGACTTGATTGTTTCCAGTTCTTTCATGATCCAGGAAGGAAGAGATTACTTTCCCCGGAAGAGCCTAGAAAGGGGCAGCCAGTCGAAGTCTAGGAGGAGAGAGGGACTTGCCCCTGAGCATTACGTGTGATCTTTGGGATGGAAATTGGGAACTGGGCTGTTCTACCCTTCGGGTCAATTGCCCCACTCCCGACCCCCTGGTGGGCGGGGCTTTGCTTTTTAACCCCTTGTTATGTATGCCTGGTGCTTTTTCTGCCCTTCCTTAGCCTTGGGGCTGGAAGCTAGACTTAAGGACTTTTAGACCTAAGAAAGCTTCTAGAAATTCTACAGTCCTCAAACTGCTCAATTTAAAAAGATCTTTTCTCAACTTGCTGGAAAGGTTAAGATAATAGATACATTTTCTCAACTTTAAATTTTCTACTAAATTTTTTTGTTTTGTTTTTTCTACTAAAATTTAAAGACTTGTTTATCATGAACCTTTTCTAACCCCCACAGAAGCAGAGAGTAGTATACTGAACCCCCATGAGCTGATATCACCCAGCTTCCACAGTCATCAGAAGCTTTTCTAGAAAATCGTAAACCCAGCCAGTATAGGCAACCAATGAGTATTAACAGAAAAAAAACCCCAAAAGCTGATTTAATTTAAAATATTTTAGATCTGTGCGACTTGAGATATAGAGATCTACAAACTACATTTCTGCGAGTAAAATTGTTCTGTGCATAGGATATAACCAGAGACGTCTGCAAACAATTGCTTGACTTCTCATACAAGCGTCGGAACTGGCAATCCCCTCATTTTCAGGCGGGGAGTCCAGGGTGCGGAGTTGTATGCTGGCCACAGCTCAGGCAGCACACAGGGAATGGGGTGGGATGGGGTTAGCATTCAGGGTCCTACTGCCACGTGGGGCGGGGCGGAAGACCACACTTACCCTCTGGGGCTCTGCCGGGGGCTGGGGGAGGACTAGCTGCAAGTAACAGGATGTTGGGGAGACAGGTAGCTTTCCAGATTCCCAAGCTCCCCTCAGACCAAAGAGTAGTCACTGTCCCCATCAGTCCTTACTTACCCAGGGTGAATCCTTCCTCCCTCCCGTCTCTAGTGGTTCTCTGGCATGTGACCCTTTCTTCTGAAACTGCCTCCGGAGGCCTTCCTGCCTTGTCCCTGAGGTTCTTTCCCAGTTCCTCGGCTGCACCTCCTCAGCGTCCTCCTCTGTCCCTCAGCTGTGGCACCCCCAGATCTCTGCCCCCCCCCCCAGATCTCTACACCCAAACTCCGCCTGTCTTGAGCCCCTTCCCACTTCTGTGCTCTCATAGATCCTTTGCCTTGCCCTCCTCCCCCAAAAGACATCTCCCCTCCCGCCGTGTCACCTGAAGGTCCAGCCTGCATTTCCTCACCTCTGAACGAGACACCTGGTCTTTACAAGCCCCTGCAGAGCACAGTTTCTGAGCTCACTCCCAGAGCCCCCCGCATCTGAGTGCTGTGCAAGATACCAGGGCTGCTTGGAAGCCTAGAGGACCCTTAGTTGTCCCAGGATAGGATGAGGGTTCGGGGTACCTCAGAAGAGCAACGCCCCACGGGACTTAGACTTGTTCTGCCTGGGGTCATCATCCAGCAGCAAGCAGATGCACTGGGATTGAGGGGAGGGGGAGGGCATTGCAGTAAGAGGTGTACAGCTTGCAGGTTCTGAGGCACAAGAAGGGAAGATTGTGGTGGTGGGACACAGGGACTCGGGGGCTGAGAGCAGCGGGAAGGGGCTGGGGCTTGTGTGCCCTACTGTGGGGCTCCCACCAGACTCTGGTCTGCACCTGCCCCTTTGCTCTGAGGCCTTCTTCCTCTGCTCAGTTTCCTTTTCCAGACCACCCGTGTCAGTCAGTCCACAATTATTAAGTGAGGGCTACGCTTTACTTTTCTGCCCATCTGACTACCTACCTCCCCAGACTCTCCGGCCCCCCAAAAAAATTTTTTTAAAGAAGACATGGAATATCACAAAATAAATGAAATTTAAACTACGTGGATGAGGAAAACGGCATTTCTTCCTTTCCCGAGGCTGCAGTGGGAATTCTTGCTGGGGCAGGGAAGCTATTGTCTGTCTTCTGTCTGTCTCAGCTCTTATTCTTTGCACCTCTTTTCTAATCCTTTTAAGGATCAAACTGCTTTAATCATGACCAGGCCCTGCTATAGAATACACAGTGGCTCCCTATTGTCTCCCCTTTCACGTCAGAAATCCTCTGGGTGTTTCTCTAGGCTTCAACCCTCACTGCGATCTCCACAACCACCCCACCCCACTTCACCACCATTCTCTAATATGAGAGACCAGTCTCCCCTTTATATTTGCCAGGCTCCTTCCCTCCTCCTTGCCTTTCTTCATGCTGTGCTTTCCTATCCATTCTTCAGGGTTGAGTTGAAGAGCTGCTGCCTCCAGGAAGCTCTCCAGGATTTCTCTAGTCTACAGTGACCTCTTCCCTTCTCTGCAGCCCTGTAGCCCTCACTGATAATACTGTTGGATGTAGCACCCAGTGTCATAGAGTAGTTTTGCACTATTTTTTATGTGTTAATCATGTCTTATCCCATTGTACCCAACCTGGTACTGGGCAGAGAGAATAGGCTCAAGGAATACTTATTGGTTGCTAAGCAGTTGGGAGGTTGGTGAATGCGGGACACCTTCTCAGGGAGCTCGGCCCTCGGTGTCCCGAGGTGCTGACAGGTGTACTGGAGAATAGCGTGGGGCCAGGGGACCTGTGTGGGCAGGCTCCCACAGGTAAGGTGGTGCCTCCACTCTTTACCCTGCGCTCCTGCTGTTCCCACTGGGCCTTTGCTGTGCTGAGCCGGGAGAGCCTTCCCTGGCCTGGGAGAACTGGCTAGACCCCAGCAGTGGGGAGGGCAAAGGTGAGGCAATTCCTCCTCCCAAAGGAAGGCAAGTCCTAGGATCCCCTTCCTGCTAATTATCAGAACAAAAGGCCCCACGGGAGTGCTTAGGGTTTAGGAAGGGCTTCTTGCACGTATTACTTCATTGGTCCTCAGCACTGCGGGCTTCTGCCCAGCTGAGCAGCTGGACCGGCCATCCAGCCAGAGGGAGGGGCTGTGGACTCCACTGGTCCACTTCGGGCTTTAGGACTCAGCTGTAGCCGGTGATGGTATGGCTCTCTCAGTGATGTCCACACCCCAACACGATTCTGAATTATTTC